GTCTGACACTGTTTCCACTGTTTCCCCATCTATTTCCCATGAAGTGATGGGACCAGATGCCATGATCTTAGTTTTCTGAATGTTGAGCTTTAAGCCAACTTTTTCACTCTCCTCTTTCACTTTCGTCAAGAGGCTTTTTAGTTCCTCTTCACTTTCTGCCATAAGGGTGGTGTCATCTGCATATCTGAGGTTATTAATATTTCTCCTGGCAATCTTGATTCCAGGTAGGACTATTCAAAGCAGGACTATTCAAAGTGGAAGTCTGTTATCAGGCTGTTATCTACAACCCTTCTCAGTACAGTCGTGTTCCCACTTGGAGCCTGCAACTCAACATGTGTGTACATGCATTCTAAGTCACTTCAGTTTTGTCCAACTCTTTGCAAGCCTTTGGACTGTAGCCCTCCAGGCTCTGTCCGTGGGGATTCTCCAGACAAGAATGCTAGATAGAGTGGGTTGCCACACCCTCCTCCAGAGGATCTTTCCAACCCACGGATCAAACCGTGTCTCCTGCATTGGCAGGTGGGTTCTTTGCCACTAGCGTCACCTAGGAAGCCCCAGTGCAACATGACTTGAGGTTTATTAGTAGAAAATGTATCACTAACCAATATAGCTTTCTTTCCTTAAGAATTTGCACCTAACAAATAATGCATCCAAAATAGAGGGTGTAGCTACTCCATTGTGTTGTGTTTTGTTTTTAGCAAAGTTCCAATGGTCCTGTGAAGAAGTCCATGCGTGAGAAGGCTGTTGAGAGAAGGAATGTCAATAAAGAGCACAACAGTAACTTTAAAGCCGGCTATATTCCAATCGATGAAGATCGCCTCCATAAAACAGGACTGAGAGGGAGAAAGGGCAATTTAGCCATCTGTGTGATTATCCTCCTGTTTATCCTGGCCGTCATCAATTTAATTGTGAGTATTTAGCATGGAGTATTGTTTTCTTACTTAGCATGAGGAATTTTTCTTCTCTTTTTAGTGGAATCATGGTAAAGAGTCTGCCTGCAGTGGGAGACCCAGGTTTAGTCCGTCCCTCAGTTGGGAAGATGCCCTGGAGAAGGAAATGGCAGCCCACTCCAGTATTCTTGCCTGGAGCATTCCATGGACAGAGGAGCCTGGCGGGCTACAGTCCGTGGGGTTGCCAGGAGTCAGACACGACTCGTTTTTTGGCATGTAGCTTTACTGTACTTTGCCTTTACTGCATGTTTTACAGAGTGAAGGTTTGTGGCAACCTTGTCCCAGGCATGCCTGTTAGTGCCATTTTTCCAGCAGCATCTGCTCACTTCAGTCTCCTTGTCACAGCTCAGGAATTTTCACTATATCTCAGAGTTTTTCTCACTATTATATTTCTTATGGTGTTCTCTGACCAGTGGTCTTTAATATTACCATTGTAATTGTGTGGGGTTCCCACTATCCACATCCATAAAAGATGGTGAATTTAATTGATAAATGTTGTTTGCATTCTGATGGCTCCTTCCACTAGCCCTTTCCCCTTTCACTCTTTCTCTCCCTCTACTCGAAGTGAAGTGAAGTGAAGTCACTCGGTCATGTCTGACTCCTGTCAGGCTCCTCTGTCCATGGGATCTCCCAGGCAAGAATACTGGAGTGGGCTGCCATTTCCTTCTCCAGGGGACCCTCCTGACACAGGGGTCTAACCCAGGTCTCCTGCACTGCAGGCAGACTCCTTACTGGCTGAACCATTCCCTGAGAGGCCATTCCCATGGCCTCTTAAGTGTTCAAGTGAAAGGCGGGGTTGCAGGTATCTCTCAGTTTAAATCAAAAGTTAGATATGACTGAGCTTAGTGAGGAAGGTACATGACAAGCTGAGATCAGCTGAAAGCTCGGTCTCTTATGCCAAACACTTAGACAAGTTGTGAATGCAAAGAAAAGCTCCTTAAAGGCAATTGAAGGTCCTACTTTAGGGAATTCCTTGGTGTTTCAGTGGTTAGGATTTGACCCTTTGACTGCCAACATGCCCAGTTCAGTCCCTGGTCAAGAAATGAAGATCTCACAAGCTGTGCAGCACAACAACAACAAAAAATTTAATTCCCTTTCTAGAGAACACATGAGTGGTGAGAAAACAAAATAGTTTTATTGCTGATACAGAAAGAGTTTTACTTGTCTGGGTGGAAGGTCAAACCAGCCACAAAACTCCCTTAAGTCAAAGCCAAATCCAGAGTAACCAACAGCCTTAAATTCTGTGAAGGCTGAAAGAGGTGAGGAAGCTGCAGAAGTTTGAAGCTAATGGATGTCGGTTCATGGCGTTTAAGAAAAAAGGCTCTCCATCACATAAAGTACAAGGTGAAATAACCTGTGCTGATACAGAAGCTGCAACTAGTTATCTAGAAGACCTAGCTAAGATCATTACTGAAGGTGACTTCACTAAATGACAAATTATCAATGCAGACAAAACAGCCTTATATTGGAAGAAGATGCCATCTAAGACTTTTGTAGCTAGAGCGGAGAAGCCAATGCGTGGCTTCAAAGCCTCAGAGGACAGGCTGATCCTGTTAGGGGCTGAGACAGCCAGTGACTCTAAGTTGCATCCAGCACTTATTTGCCATTTGGAAAATCCTAGGACCCTAAGAATTATGCTAAATCTTCTGTGTCTGGGCTCTATAAGTGGAACAACCAAGTCTGGATAACTGCACACTTGTTTACAACATAGTTTACTGAATATTTTAAGCCCACTGTTGAGATTTGCTGCTCAGAAAAAAAAAAAAAATGTTTCTTTAAAAATGTTACTGCTCATTGACGATGCATCAGTCACCCAAGAGCTCTGATAGAGATGCACAGTGTTGTTTGTAGTGTAGATGTAGTGTTGTTTTCATGCCTGGAAATGCAACATCCAGTATGCAGCCCATCGATCAAGCAGTGATTTTGACTTCCAGGTCTTATTAGGAAATACATTTTTTTATTTTAAAAAAAAGAAGTACATTTTTTAAGGATAACAGCTACCATAGATAGTGACTCCTCTGATGGATCTGGGCAAAGTAAGTTGAAAAACCTTTGGAAAGAATTCATTATTCCAGATGCCATCAAGAACAATGGGGGTTTATGGGAAGAGGTCAAAATATCAATGTAAACAGGAGTTTGAAAGAAGTCGATTGCAGTCCTTATGATTGACTTTCAGGGGTTCAAGACTTCAGTGGATCAAGTAACTATAGATGTGGTAGAAATATCAAGATAATTAGAAGTAGAGCCTGAAGATGTGATAAATTACTACCATCCCCCTGATAAAGGATAAAGAGTTGCTTTTTACAGATGAGCAAAGGAAGTGGTTTCTTGAGATGAAATCTCCTGAGGGAGATGCTATGAAGATTATGGACATGACAATAAAGGATTTAGACTTTTACATAAATTTAGTTGATAAAGCAGTGGCAGGTCCTGCACAGAGATGCCTCAAAGCCTTGTTAAGAATGTTTGGATCTCCATGAAGCCCTACTGTACCCACGTTTACCTGGAGATTTGGGTAGGCATGGCTTCATCATTTATAAAATCAGGAGTGCTGATAAAAGAGGTAAAGCCTTGAAAGCTTCCAGTTCTACACCTGCTCATGGTCATCATTAACGAGCTTTACTTGAGTGGGACGTAGGTCTGACTGTGTTGTGGGAACACGGGACGTTGTGTATGCTTGTAGCAGTGCTGCTGCCCTCGGGCATGAATAAATGTGCCTGTGAGGACCTCTCCCCCACCACACACACACACACATACACACACACACACACACACACACACACACACACGAATAAATGTGCCTATGAGGACCTCTCCCCCGCCACACAAACACACACACACACACAGACACACACACACAAATAAAAGCAGTAGCAGGATTTGAGAGGATTGGCTCCAATTTTGAAAGTCCTACTGTAGGTAAAATGCTATCAAACAGCTGTGTGTACTACAGAGACATCATGAAAGGAAGAGTCAGTGCAGCAAACTTCATTATCATCTTATTTTAAAAAATTGCCGCAGCCACCCCAGGCCTTCAGCAACCACCACCCCGATCTGTCAGCAGCCATGAATGTCAAGGCAAGACCCTCCACCAGCCAAGAGTTTATACTCACTAAAGGCTCAGGTGATAGCATTTTTTGTAGCAAAAAGTACTTTTTAATTAAGGTATGTACATTTTTTTTTTACCTCACTTCATGGCTTGCAGGATCTTAGTTCCCTGATTAGAAATCAAACCCACTTCCTCAGTAGTGAGAGTGCTGGGTCCTAACCACTGGACTACCAGGTGTACCAACAGGATCCCTGAAAGTTGTTTTTTTAGACGTAATGTAGTTGCATGCTTAATAGACTACAATATAGTGTAACCTTAAGTTTTGTATGCACTTGGAAGCCAAAAAAGTTTGTGTGACTTGCTTTATTACAATATTCACTTTATTGCTATTATCTGGAACCAAACCCACAATATCTATGAAGATATGTTTTATCTCTTACTGAATTTTAATGAATATTTTCTTTATGAAAACCTAGTGTGCTAATATTGCCATCGTCAACTTAAAAAATAGCCACAACCTAAAAGTTGAGAATTATGTTTTATTCTGCGGGTATTTTTAGGAGTTCAGACCTGGTAGACAACATATCAACTGACCCTGAGAGAACTGCTCTGAGGAGGTTAGGGGATGAGCCAGGTTATATAGAAGTTTTGCAACAAAGGGCAGGTAGTCTGAACATCAAAAGATTATAGTTAATTAAAGGAAGCCAGATATCCTAGGTTAAAGAATTTATCACTTTTCTGTGCATGGGGAGATCCAGGAACCTGAGTTTATGGAATCATTGCTTTCACATGCCTCTCGGCTCTCGGGGGCCCGTGTCCTGTGTTTCCACATCCTGAGCGTCCCTGGAGCTCACTGTAGGGGCTGGCTGCAGCCTGATGGCCGGTCTTCTCCATCCTAAGTGTCCGTAGGGCTCATCAGCTCACACTGAAGGGCTGCAGTTGCTGATGACTGTGACATCCTCGTTTCCTGATACAGCAGCTAATACTTCATTTCTCACCGTGTACTAATTTTACTTAGAAAAAAAAATGTTTATAGACTCTTTCCTTTAAACAGCTTAACTTTTAAAAGATTAGCATCAACTCAACAGAGGAGACCTTTCCCAAGATGATTTTATTGCCTTCATCTCTCATAAAAATACACTCCTTCATGTTTTCTTTCAACTTTTCCCAAATTTACTTTTGCCTCCTCAGCTTAAAAATTGTGAACCTTGATGCAGTAAAAGATTACCTTTTGCAGTCCTGAATCTTTATTGTTGAAGAATGAAAGGACCTAAGGTAGACTAGTTTACACCAAGGTTTGAGGAGTTGGTGTATTCCCCTTTCCAAAGATAATTGCTTCCTTAAAGAAGGAGACTTTTTAAATGAATCTTTATTTATTCATTTATTTGGCTGTGTCAGGTCTCAGTTGTGGCACATGGGTTTAGTTGCCCGGTGACACGTGGCATCTTAGTTCCTTGGCCAGGGATCGAACTCATGTCCCCTGCATTGCAGGGCACATTCTTAACCACCGGACCACCAGGGAAGCCCCTTAAAGACGAAGACTGTTATCCCAAGGTTGACACTACCTGAGAGTTCTGCGTGACACCCCCTGGCCTGTGTGTGGACAGACGTTTTCAGAGTGATTACCGGGGTCCCTAACACCGATCATGAACATGGATGCAGCAGTTCCAGTGTGATTCCGTTCACTGTATTCTTTACTTCTAACACTCTTAAGTTAGTCCTTGTATTTTATGTACATCCAAAACATTTGTGTCCAATTCTTCACTTAAATTGAAACGAGCTGAAACTGTAAGTAGCTTTACTAGGAGCACATGTTCTGAATTTATTTTATTGAAAAGTTATGGTTAAGATGGCAAAAAAAAAAAAAAAGAGAGACATTTTTCATCCCCTTCTGCTCTAAAAAGTTCAACCTAAGGCGACAATGTCAAGAAGCAGAAATATCTTGGAAGAAAGCAGGGGGCAGTCAGAATTCTAAATCATAATATTTGAAGGTGGATGAGGAATGGCAACTTACCAGAGAAGAGAAACTGCATGTTGGGGAGGGGGTTGCAGAGGGCATTGGTGGAAGTGCCTTGCAGAATGCTGGAAAACCTCAGGAAGTGGAAGTACAGGTTCCTTGAAAAGCAGGTGTGAGAGGGGAACTGCAAACAGAGAGCTTCTTTGAAAAACCTGTAGAAGGAGCCATACGATCCCCAGCCCTGCTCCCCTTCCAGCCAGCAGTCACGGAGCTGCCCCTCCTCACCCTGCGCTGAACCAAAGGGATTGTTTCTGCCTGAGGGTAGGCCTGGGTTTCCGCAGGAAAGCAGGGGAGTCCTGCACCCTGAGCCTTGAGGCTCCCTTATCCTCGTCCCCCACCTCCGGCTCCCTGCACCAGGCTTGCATTCTCTGGGCAAGACCTGAATATGCTGATGCTTGGCAGGTCCCCGTGAAAGTGCTACCTAAACCCCGTACTGTGAGGCCTGTCAGTCACTGGCCCCACCCCACACAGACCTTTCCATGAACTTTTTATAACCTCTGTGTTAGATATGAACACAGAGCCACAGGGGTCAGTGAACTTTTATGGAAAGGGTCCAGAATTGAGAAATGCTGGAAACCAAAAGCACCCAAACCACGGAGAAAGTAGGAATTCAGGGAAATAGAGAAAAGGTAGCAAATGACAGTGAACTTAGATGTTCGCCAGCAGACGAGTGAATAAGGAGGTTGTGGTACATATACACAGGATCAGGGCTTCCCTGGTGGCTCAGTTGGTAAAGAATCTGCCTGCAATGCAGGAGACCCCGGTTCGATTCCTGGGTCGGGAAGATCCACTGGAGAAGGGATAGGCTGCCCACTCCAGTGTTCTTGGGCTTCCCTTGTGGCTCAGCTGGTAAAGAGTCCACCTGCAATGTGGGAGACCTGGGTTTGATCCCTGGGTTGGGAAGATCCCCTAGAGAAGGGAAAGGCTACCCACTCCTGTATTCTGGCCTGGAAAATTCCATGGACTGTATACTCCATGGGGTCACAAAGAGTTGGACACAACTGAGTGACTTTCATTTACTTATACACAATGGAATATTACTCAGCTATAAAAAGGAGCACATTTGAGTCAGTTCTAATGAGGTGGATGAAACTGGAGCCTATTATACAAAGTACATCAGAAAGAGAAATATCAATACTGTATATTAACACATATGTATGGGATTTAGAAAGACAGTAACAATGGTCCTATGTGCAAGGCAGCAGAAGAGACACAGATGTGAAGAAGAGGCTTTTGGACCCTGTGGGAGGAGGCGAGGGTGGGACGATTTGAGAGAGTAGCATTGAAACGTGTGTATTACCGTGTGTAAAACAGACAGCCAGTGCAGGTTCGATGCGTGAAGCAGGGCGCTCACAGCCTGTGCTCTGGGACAACCCGGTGGGTGGGGCCGGGAGGGAGGTAAGTGGGGGATTCAGGCTGGGGGACATGTGTGCACCCGTGGCTGATTCATGTCGACGTGTGGCACAAACCATCACAGTATTGCAAACTAATTTTTTAAAAAGATAAAAACACTAAAATCATTATCTTCAGAGAAGTAAGAGGATATTGCATCCATTAAACAAGGATACCATGCCATTAAAAAATAATTCAAGAACATGAAAAACTCACGGAAATACACGCACATGGATGGGTAGATGAATGGATAGATAGGTAGGTAGATAGATACATAGATATTGGAAGAAAAAGAAACTTCCACGAAATTCAACAAAATTAAAGAATTAATCCATGAACTGCTGTTAATAGGGGTTTTAGAAAGAGGAGAGAACACACTAGGGAGAATGTTATCAAATAAATAAAGAAAATTTGAAAACTACCATTCTGGGTCCATGTGTGTATGTTAGGTTGCTTCAGTCGTACCTGAGTCTTTGCAGCCCTATGGACCGTAGCCTGCCAGGCTCCTCTGTCCATGGGATTCTCCAGACGACAACACTGGAGTGGGTTGCTGTTTCCTACTCCAGGGGATTTTCCCCACCCAGAGATGGAAGTCTCCTGCATTGGTAGGCAGGTCCCTTACCACTAGTGCCACCCGGGAAGCCCATTCTGGGTCCAGCATATGCCTAAAAAAGACTCACACCAAAGCTATCACTGTTAAAATTAGGGAGACCAGGAATAAAGAGAAGATCCTAGAATCTTTGAGAGAAGTTTTTTAAAAGATTATGTATAAAGAACACAAAATCAGAGTGGCATCAGACCTTTCAAAGGCAGTGCGGGAAACCAGCAGGCAGGAAAGCAAGGGCTTTAACATTCAGACAGAAAATAATTTCGAATCTAGGAATGTGTGTCAAGCTAAACTGTCAATCAAATGTGAAAGATTATAGAGACATTTTCTTAGCCATGCTCAAAAACTATTTACTTTCCATACATTCTTCCTAAGGAAGCCACAGGAGCCCGCTTTATTGAAAGCAGGCACTACACCAAGAAGGATGAAGACAAGGATGCAGGAAGCTGGGCGCCCACGCCGGGAAAGAAGACGGAGGGTGTGGCGTGAAAGTGAAGGGAGGGCGCAGGGTGGCGGCTGTGAGGCGGACTCAGAGGGCAAGGACAGGCTTCAGGCAGATGAGGGGGCCAGAAAGAGTTCCCGGGAGAGGAAAACAGAACTAACATTTTTCTGGGAGATTTGGACTTTTAGAACATTTTATTGAGAGACATTTTACAGAAATGTTGGAAAGCTTGAAAATACTTAGTCTGATATTCAGAGAAATTAAGCAAATGAGGGAAAGACAGGTATTAAACTCTGAAAGACACAAAGCCCAAGAACCACCATCATAGTACAGGCTTGGCTTAGTGTGAATAATATGTATATTGTCATAATGGCTGAGAGTACTGAACATGCATGGAACATGGACTGGAGTTAGGGGAGAAGAAATGTAAATGAGCTAAAATTCTCTCTGCTGAAATAGATTAATAGATGACAATCTGAAGATCAGTAAAGACATAACACACACATTATTTAGAAATATGGAGAGAAGTTCTAGACAAAAGTAGCTAAAATTGCTTAAAGTGGACAAGATACAGAGGGGGGTAAAAGAAATTAACTACTTCCTTTTTTTTTACTTTTAGTTATTTGTATATAATACCTTGATTAAAATAAAATTGGTTTTGTTTGTGAGTGGAAACCCAGTTTATGTGTTTATGTCACTGATGAAACCATTTAGGAAGTTTAATCCTTTGGCAGCTACCTTTTCTGTTTGCTTTCAAGTTGTGTTAAGAATGTATGCTGCCTATCAACAGTGGGTTTGATTCCTTTTTTAGATAACACTTGTTATCTGGGCCGTGATTCGCATCGGACCAAATGGCTGTGATAGCATGGAGTTTCATGAAAGTGGTCTGCTTCGATTTAAACAAGTATCTGACATGGGAGTTATACATCCTCTCTATAAGAGCACAGTAGGAGGAAGACGAAACGAAAATTTAGTCATCACTGGCAACAACCAGCCTGTAAGTAACCATATTATTTGAGAAACATTAGAGAAAAATTCTTTGTAAAAACCTCAAGTTGATTGTTTGAAATGGATATTTTCCTTTAGAGAAAATTCATAATTATATTTGATAATATTGGCCTTCTAATCTATTAATATTCAGTATTTTCTTAATATTCTGTTTTGTGTCATGGTAACATTTTCTGGGATAGATTCTTTCCTCCTCCACATGAAAAAACCATTTTAAAAAGCATCTTCGTCCCACTGTCGCCTTCCCCCACTGTGTCCAATATGACATTGTAAAGCAGTTATCCTCCAGTTAAAAATAAATTTAAAAAACATCACCTTCCCAGGTTGGAATAACCTCTGCTCTCTGGGAGTCTGGTAGGGAATACGTCCTAGTTAGGGGCAGCCCCTGCCGAGTGGCTAGTATAGCTGACCAGAGCCTGAAGGAAGCATCCTCACTGGCCACGCCCGTCTTAGCTCTGGGTCCCTGTGCTCGGCCACCATCCGCTTTCTGCCAACCGTTACAGCGTGTAAGCATGTCAGCCCTCACTTTAAAGAGCTCTTCTCCCAAGTGGGTGGGGGGAGTCAGAAAGAGGCAGTGAAAATTACTTGAAGTTAAAAGTCTGTTATTGTAGAGTTTTTGATGATGCTCTTGATGAATTTTGGATGCAGCCTTTTTCAAAAACATATTCATGATGAAGTGTTTTTCTGAAGATTGTTTTTCAGCAAGGGACAACAAAGCTCAGTGTAGAAAAGAACAAAACTTCTATCACAAGCGACATTGGCATGCAGTTTTTCGACCCAAGGACTCAAAATATCTTATTCAGCACAGACTATGAAACTCATGAGTTTCATTTGCCAAGTGGAGTGAAAAGTCTGAATGTTCAAAAAGCATCTACTGAACGGGTATGGTTTATTTTCTTTGCTTTATTAATGGAAGAGAATTACTGTCTAGAGTTACAAAGTGTGTTTGGCGGGGGAGGCAGTTTTACTGATACAGTGCTGTGAAATAATTAACTCCAAAAGAGTGGAAAAGATTAGTTCTACATTTGTCATCAGCTGGTTTGTGTGATCATTATCAAATCATCTCTTTATCTCTACATCTATAAAATGTGAATGAAAACACTTGCCTTTCTTATTTTTTCATTGAAACTTCTACTTTTCTATCTCTAATAATAATTCTCACTTTAATTTAGAAATTCTTCATCACTAGGTTTTGTTGTTTTTTTTTTTTTTTTTTTTCAGATTACCAGCAATGCTACTAGTGACTTAAATATAAAAGTTGATGGGCGTGCTATTGTCCGTGGAAATGAAGGAGTGTTCATTATGGGCAAAACCATTGAATTCCACATGGGTGGTAATATGGAATTAAAGGCTGTGAGTATTTTTTAATTTAAGTGAATTTCTAGATTCTTGGGTACATAAACCCATATTTGGAAAGTATAGTTATGAAAAATGATAGTGTATTTGTATTTTTTGACATGGAAAGATGTTCACAATAGATTATGAAGTGGAAGTAAGTTGTAAAACAATGTGTGAAAAACCTCATTTTTATTTTTCAGATTATATGTATGTTTATAAAAACCTGGAAGGTTATGCCAAAATGTCAACAATGGTTGGTTATGGGCAGCAGAGTGACAGATGATTTTTATTTTATTTCTGCTTGCCTGTTATTTTCTAAAAATTTTTTTTGCATAATGATGCCTATATTATTTTAAAAGGCAAGCAAACAAAAAAAAACCTTCTTAAATAATATCAAAATAACTACCCATGTCATGAAGTTGATGAAGTTTTTTCAGTTAAAGATTTTTCATATCCCTTCCTGGGTTTTGTATCCAGTGATGTAAAAATCAATTAGTCAATATATAAAATGTGTTTTTATTTATACATCTGTTATTTAATTGTAAAGGAAAAAGATTTTGCCTTTATTATACCTGTTGAAAAGCAGTTTCCTTTGTGCCTCACAGATTATATCTGAACTTTAATAGGTAACATATTTCATGTAAGGGAGCCATAAGTCCAAAAACATTCTACCTGTTTCATAATTCTGGTCAAAGTACATTTATTCAGAATGTCTTTTGGGCACCTGCTCTTTGCTATCCAACTAAAGCTAATTAAATTTATCAAGCATTAAATAACAAAGATGAACTTAAACCTAAGGACTTACAAAATAATTCTTTCCTTTTAAAAAATGTAATCATAGCTCTTGAAGGAAGAAACTTTTAAAAATTAGGTTTTTCACTTTCATAAATATCTTTTTCCTCTGATGAGCATGTTCCAGTCTCTCAACAGTAACTGTGAACATAAAATGTGATTCTTATCAGAAACTCAGTATCAGTGCTGAGTCCTCTTTGTGTACCCATAGAAGGAAGCCATCCTTCTGAGAGAGTGGTAGTGTCCCAGGGGCTGTTCTTCTCCACGTCGGAAACTCAGAGAAGCAAGAGATGTGACTGATTGCTTTACAGCTGTTAGCAAATTACCTAAATCTTTTAATTTTTTCTACTTGAAAATTCTACCTGTTGTTACTGTGACATACTTTGAAATACACACACACAGACACACACACACACACACACACACACCCAATATCTCCACAGTTAAAGAAAAAGAAGCCAGTATTGAAAAGATAATTAGCTTTATCTTTCAGCTAATATCAGAGGTTGGTTTTTAAGTGTGTGGCTAATCATTAGGAAGAATCTTATCAATTAAACTGCCTTTTTTTTTTTTAAAAGTGCTAAGACAAATATGATATCACTTATATGTGTAATCTAAGAAATAATACAAATGAATCTATATACAAACTAGAAACTGACTCATGGACATTGAAAACAAACATGGTTACCAAAGGGGAAAGGGAGGCAGGGAGAGATAAATTAGGAGTATGGGATTAACAGATACAAATTACTATACATAAAATAGATAACAAGGATTTACTATATGGCACAGAGAACTACATTCAAAATCTTGTCATAACTTATAATGGAAGATAACCCAAAAAACATATGTATGACTGAATCTCCTTGCTGTACACCTAAAACTAATACAATATTGTAAGTTAACTATACTTCCCATTAAAAAACTGCTTTACAAATTTAAAGAAAGTAAAATTACATGACCACAAGATGGCAGCATTGGAGCAAAATTTGAAAGTTCATGTACTATCTCAATTCCATGTACTATCTCTCAAAGAGATGGGAATACCAGACCACCTGACCTGCCTCCTGAGAAATCTGTATGCAGGTCAGGAAGCAACAGTTAGAACTGGACATGGAACAACAAACTGGTTCCAAATAGGAGAAGGAGTATGTCAAGGCTGTATATTGTCACCCTGCTTATTTAACTTATATGCAGAGTACATCATGAGAAACGCTGGGCTGGAGGAAGCACAAGCTGGAATCAAGGTTGCCAGGAGAAATATCAATAACCTCAGCTATGCAGATACCACTACCCTTATGGAAGAAAGCGAAGAAGAACTAAATCTTGATGAAAGTGAAAGAAGAGAGTGAAAAAGTTGGCTTAAAGCTCAACATTCAGAAAACTATGGTCATGGCATCTGGTCTTATCACTTTATGGCAAATAGATGGGGAAACAGTGGAAACAGTGTCAGACTTTATTTTGGGGGGCTTCAAAATCGCTGCGGATGGTGACTGCAGCCATGAAATTAAAAGACACTTGCTCCTCGGAAGGAAAGTTATGACCAGCCTAGATAGCATTTTAAAGAGAAGAGACATTACTTTGTCAACAAAGGTCCATCTAGTCAAGGCTGTGGTTTTCCCAGTAGTCATGTAGGGTTTTCCCAGTGGTCATGTATGGATGTGAGAGCTGGACTCTAAAGAAAGCTGAGCACCAAAGAATTGATGCTTTTGAACTGTGGTGTTGGAGAAGACTCTTGATAGTCCCTTGGACAGCAAGGAGATCCAACCAGTCCATCCTCGAGGAAATCAGTCCTGAATATTCATTGGAAGGACTGATGTTGAAGCTGAAACTCTAATACTTTGGTCACCTGATGCGAAGAACTGACTCACTTGAAAAGACCCTATACTGGGAAAGATTGAGGGCAGGAGGAGGAGGGGACAACAGAGGATGAGATGGTTGGATGGCATCACTGACTCAATGGACATGAGTTTGGGTAAACTCCGGGAGTTGGTGATGGACAGGGAGGCCTGGCGTGCTGCAATTCATGGGGTCGCAAAGAGTCGGACATGATTGGACAACAACAACATCACTAACATAGTCAATTAACCATTTCCATCACTTCATAATCAACTTTCTCTCATTGCTTTAAGCACCCTCCATAAGCTGATGACTCTCAACTTTGGAACTTCTTTCTCCCCTGAACTAAGATTCATATATCCAACTGCCTTCTTACCTCTCCAGTTCAGTATCTATGAGGCATCTCAATCACAACAAGTCTAAAAGTCTGCATATCCTTCCTCCCTCCCCAAACATGTATTTCTCTCAGTGTTCACATCTTGTTAAATGCTACCCATTGGTTCGTCAGCGGAGCCTTCGGGCTGTACCTTCAGAAGATGTACAGAGCCTGGCTGATGCTCGCCATCTCCACCAGCACCACCACCATGGTGCAGACCACCGTCATTTCCTGCCTGCACTGCTGAAACAGCCTCCTCTTTCACCCCTGTACGCTGTTCTCTATAAAAACAGCCAAAGCAATCCTTTTTGAAAGATCATGTCACTTCTCTAGTCAGAACCCTCCAAATGTCTTCCCATCTGATTTGGAATAAAATCCCAAGTCCATTCCCTGGCCCCGTGTGTCTGGCCCCTGGTTATTTCTGTGACTCACCTTCTCCTTCAGCCACACTGGCCTCCTGTCTGTTTCTGGAACACAAGTCACACGTGCATATTGTTCTTTCCTTTGCCCAGTCACCCATATGCCCTGCTCCCTCATGTCACCCAGTTTCCATCAGACCTTCCCTGACCTTCCGCTATACAGTAGAACCCCACCCGGTCACTCTCTCTCTACTTATCCAGACTTGCTTTTTTCAGATGATGTTTGTTTTACCTCTTAAGATGCTTATTGTCTGCCCCTCCCCAGTAAAATATCAGTGTATGAGGACTTAAACTTTGCCTGTCTGTTGACTGCTGTGTACTCAACACCAAGAATGGTATCTGACACATAGGAGACATTTAAAAATTAATCACTGAATGAAGGAAAAGAAGCAAAGGGAAGAAGGGAGAGAGAAGAGTTCCAAAAAAGAGCAAGTCTGCGATACTATAGTGCTCCTGGGACAGTGGGCTTGAAGAAAAGAACTTCCAGCCAGTTTTCTTTGAGTATCTGATCTTCAAAATTATATGGATTGAATCTCCATTTATAGTGTTACCAAAGTAATTGGAAATTAAAATTACTTTTCTCTAGGAGAAAAGTTTTCTAGTTTTTCTTTTTCTGTTCATTGTCAGAAACATATCAATCAGACACTTGGTTAAAACTCAAGTAGTAGCAAGTGAAAATGATCTGAGACTTGATCAGTGTCAGTCTTATGTGCACTTAGGAATTTTGATATAATTGTTAGCTGAGAAATAAATTGTGTTAAGTGTATAAATACAACTTATGAACAGTTACTGAGAGGTCACTAGTCAAATTTTAATTGGTTTGGGGATTTTTTTTGTTATTTTGGTCATGACTTTACTCTGTCTTACTGCCTTCTATTCTTGCTCATATTCCAGTGAGTTTTGTTTATTATCTTTGTTCTGTCCCTTCTTGTGTGGATAAATAAACCGTATGATTTTTCTCCTGATAGGAAAACAGCATCATCCTGAATGGAACTGTGATGGTCAACACGACTCGCCTCCCAAGTTCCTCCAGCGGAGACCAGTTTGGTGGTGATGACTGGGTGCGTTACAAACTCTGTATGTGTGCCGACGGAACACTCTTCAGAGTGCAGGTGACAGGTCAGAACATGGGCTGCCAGACCTCAGACAACCCCTGTGGAGACCCCTACTAGAAGAACCCAAGAGGACATCAATAGATTCATATTGTGACTTTTTATTTTTTTAAGACTAGGCATGCATATCATGTTTTTACAGAGTTTGTAATAACTCATTTATGTAATCTGCAGTGCACTGCTGCATCTATTATGTAGTCTCCATGTTTAAAATAGTCTCAGAGAGCCTAAACTCTAATACATTTCATTGAGTTGCACTGATCTTCAATTTACGGTTCTCTAAAATTATTGAGAGAAGTGAATATAATCAAAATTATTCTTTAAAGAAGTATTTTTAAAATGCCACTGTTCCTGTCTAAAGGATAAAGGGATGAAGCAACTGTAGACTCACTATAAGTAACTTTTAGTAACTAATGGGGTTAGACCCACTTAAGATATTTAAAGGTACACCATCAATAAATGTTACATGTTCTGTCCTTAGGCTTCTAAGAGGAAAGACAGATTTTTAGTGCATTACTTTCAACTATATTCTCGCATACAAGTGAGGTTACTAAAGAGCTTCACATATGGGAGATAGTAAGGAACTAAAGGTCCGTATTGTCACAGCTATGGTTTTTCCAGTAGTCATGTACGGGTGTGAGAGTTGGACCATAAAGAAAGCTGAGCACTGAAGAATTGATGGTTTTGAACTGTGGTGTTGGAGAAGACTCTTGATAGTCCCTTGGACTGCAAGGAGATCCAACCAGTCCATCCTAAAGGAAATCAGTCTGAGTATTCATTGGAAGGACTGATGTTGAAGCTGAAACTCCAATACTTTGGCCACCTGATGCGAAGAGCTGGCTCATTTGAAAAGACCCTGATGCTGGGAATGATTGAGGGCAGGAGGAGAATGGGACGACAGAGGATGAGATGGTTGGAGGGCATCACCAACTCAACGGACATGAGTTTGAGTAAACTCCGGGAGTTGGTGATGGACAGTGGCGTGCTGCAGTCCATGGGGTCACAAAGAGTTGGACACGACTGAGTGACTGAACTGAACTGAACTGATGGTTCCTTAGTTTTGCACTAGGAAGAAAGTACTAAGAGAATGTCCACTCATTAAATGTTCATTTACTCATTAAATACTGTGTTCGCAATGTGGTAGAAATGAAAGCACTATCTCAGCTTTATCTATGAAATGATGATAGCTGTCATTTATTGAGCATCTTACACTGCTAGGCATTGTCTTAAGCATTGCACATGTAATGTCTAGTTCTCACTACAAACTCTGTAAGCAGATGTTATCCCAGTTTACCCATTTAGGAAACTGAGGATTAGAGAAGTTAAGAAACTTGCCTGAGGAAAGAACAGAGTTGGGATTGGAATTCAGATGTGATTCAAACCTAGATGGACCTGTTTCTAAATACCACATTCTTTTTATCAATATCTGTACTGGATTTTTAGGTATTTAAAACTCTAGAAAGATAAACAGAGGCTAATTCAGATTTACTTGTGCAGATAAGAATCAAAACAGTTGTGCTACTCTAGATAAAAGAAAATCAATCTCATGTCACATAACTGACCAGTCAATGTCAGATTTTGAAGTTTCTGAAGCCAATTACAAAATACTGTGCTATAGAGAGTTCATAGTTGTGGGTTACCCCCATACCCCAACTGGGGTGCCTGAATGGGTAAAGGGGTTGCCAAGATATGTATACCTCAGCCTTTGGGGTGGCACAGTGGGAGACGGGGAGGTCATGTCCCAGGTGAGCCCCAGGCTGGAGAGTTTACCCCAGCGAGCCAGACAGATTAACCTTTTTAATATGTGTCAGACCTTGAGAGGAGTCAGGAAGCGCTGGACTAAAGGGCGCTAATGCAGGAAGTAATATGAGTAATTTTTATGTAAGAGGAGAATTGATCTTTGCTTCTAACGTCAGCACCCATCGTAATGAGTTACAACCCTCAAGCCCGTTGATTTTTCATGTGTTTTATGTTTGGCTTGAATTCTGGTGGTATTAACACACACGCAGCATCAGGAAGAGAGGCTTCAAAGTAGTGAGCCATAAAGTAGGCAGCCGAGATAAGCCATAAACCCCATTTTGCATTTAACATAACAGTATTCTGTCCTTGACACTTTGAACTATATAGATGAGAAAATCAGTACAAAAAAGAATTTGCATTCAGTATTGTCACAGTCTCTCTGATAGAAAAACCAAACCAAAAAACAGTAGAGACTAACTTACCTATTACTGAGTACGGTTTTTAAGTGAAGAAAAAAGAGAGGAAGTGAAATTTATGACCTCTGGGTATTGTTAGTTGTAGTGATATTCAAAATCCATATGAATATTATTCAGTTTCACTTAATATCTGAATGATATTCAGGAAAAAAATCCATTGGAATTTTCATTCAGCTGCTCAGTATATTTGTAAATTTTACATTCATTACATGTCTGCTTTATTTAGATTTGCTTTGGAGTTTTGTTTCGATAAATATTTTTATAAAAACCACAAAACACTATGTTACAAAGTATTATTTATTGAATGTAATTCATGAAACAATCTATTTTTACTTCTCTGAGAAATAACTTGTCTTTTATACATTTCCATAAAGTGCTTTGGACATGAGAGAATATTTTTATGTTTTTATGGAACTGATGTTAAGGTAACAGGTATAGTATTTTAGGACACTTTATAGGTAGCTTGTGCTTCTTCATTGAAACATAGACCTGGAAAATTCCCTGGGAAGCAGAACAAGAACAAACCATCCATTTTGCATAACAGTAAAGCCTCAGCTACTCATTCTCACCATCAGATGGTATTTTCCTATAAACTGAATTCTTAACTTTGCCTCTTCTGCTGATTATTCCCCTCCATCAAACACTGATTCGACAGGCAACAGATTTGGGGTGAATAGAAGACAAAGACAGGATCCCAGGAAAGTGGGACAGACCCACGCTTGTTTAAATAACTACACTCCTTTAGAGGTAGATGACAATGACAAGGGGGACAAATGAAATGAAAGCAAGGTATTTCAGAGGCTGTCTAATGGGCAGGTGGGAAGAATGAAAACAACACACAGTAGGGACTATCTATGTGTTGTCTGTAATATTTTAACATATACTTGTGCTCTTTTTGCATTACTAAAAAAAATGGTGTATGATAGTTTTGAATGAACAGTGAAAGTTCTACCTAGTTTTGAGTGAGTTCTTTAAAAGAATGAGGATGTTACGGTGCTAAACTTGACAAAAAAAGAGAGACCATTGAAATACTGATAATTTTAGTAACCTTTTTTCAAAACATTGAGGGGGCAAAGATTACAAATTATGCCATACAAAAATAAACATATAAATCTGAGTTACTAATTTGACTTTCAGTTGAGTCAGTTTGTAATAACTATTAATGACCTCTGTTTACAATAAAGATTCTATAAAATTGTTTGCTGTTGACTTTTTAATTGTTAAAATATTGGCAGGTTTCTACTCACTCCTGTAAACGTGTTGAATAGCTTGAGAATTGGGCACCACCAGTATTTATGTCATCTCTCTGGAATCCTAGAGCTCGGAGGGAGAGGTTGTACAGCCCCAGTCTGGAAGGTCCTGCCCTCTGCACTGCAGAAGGCCTCTCTCTCTGCTGGCTTTTCCCCAGCGTCCCAGGGGAGTGTGCACAATGGTCTGTCCTCTCTGCAAGAGGCCAGAGTTTAGATAGGAAAGGGTTAAAGGTTTGCCAGAGGGCAGGCTCCAGGGCCGATGGGCGGAGCCTCAGAGGCTCAGGTCTAAAATCCTCACCTGGTGTGATTCAGAGAGAGACCCACTGGAAAAAGTCCCTGAGGATCAGAGGTATGCCCAAGAAACTGTTCCTGTTGTGTGCTTTCTCCATCTTGGCAGAACTAGCCTCTTGTGCCTTTTTCTCCTAATTGTGGTGACTTCTCTTTCATATAGGAACGGACTCATTTCCTTTCTACTTTCTGATTTTCCTACTGCTTTCTCCCTACCTCTCTCACTGACACACCCCATATTTCTTACTGCTTCCTCATAACTTCAGCGTGAATCTGTCCATTTATAGATTTACATTTCACCTAATTGTCTCCAATAGCCTCAGAAAATATTTCTGGAGTTCTCAGATGTTCCTTACCTAACATATAAGTTTGTTTTAGTGTGTGTATATATATATATAGATATATAGATATAAAGACTTTTGAATTTATTTTTAATTGGAGGATAATTGCTTTACAATGTGTTGGTTTCTGCCATACGACACTGCAGAGGGGACATATATATATTATGGCTGGTTTGCATTGTTGTATAATATTTTTTAATTTATGAATTAATACCTTTCACTTTAAGATATAAAATTATCCTTATCAGCTGTTTTGAAGTCAAATCTACTAGTTACAGATAAATGTCTTCAACTTAGAATCAGGTAAATGAAAAAAAAAAAGTGATTTTTTTTTTTTTTTAAGTCCCCTTAAGAAAAAATTTTTGAACCACATGTTTCTCTTTGATATTATAGTATGCCTATGAATGATGACTTTTTTCTGTTATTGCTGATATTGTGACATTAGCTTGCTATATAATTGTATACTGATGATTTCAGCTTTGAATGTAGTAACAAATACTTTTCTGACTATACAAATTAATTCAATTGCTGGTATTACATAAGAAGTACACTTTAAAAATCAGTCACTCCTCCATGCTGTAGGGCACCTTTGCAGTTCATGGCCATGTGTACCTGAATTTAGATGCCCTTCAAAAATATGGGAGATTTGATCTTATATGAAACCAAAGTTTAAAAAGTTACATGGTCAGTTTCATTCACTCCCATCTATTCATTTATCCAAGCAGAGTATAACCCTATGACAGACTGCAGACTTAAAAATTTAGAACATGGGGGGAAATATATAAATTTAGATGATAAATAGGTTGATGATACAGATATACCCCAATTTATAGATAGCATAGTCCTATGACAGATTGAAGACTATTAAAAGTATTTTTTAAATAGGGGAAGTTTTATCTTTATGTATGTGTATATAAATTTTAGATGATAAATAGGTTGATATAGATACAGCCCTATTTATATATAGCATAGTCCTATGACTGAAAAGTATTAAAAATGTTAAAAAGTGGGGGAACTTTTTCTATATGTGTATGTGTATATATATAAAAACATGGCCCTTACCATCTGGGAGCTGTTGTCTTTTGGGGTGTTTAAAACAGATGCAAAGCAAAGCAATGCAGGATAGTATTGCTATTCTGTCAAATTGAATGTTACTAACTTATATTCATTCATTCAATAAATATTGAAAGGTTTCTGGACAAAAAAAGCAGGAAAAGGGTCTTTAGGCCATAAGATCTGTGATAGATCTAGAAGGACATACATAGGTTTTGAACTGAGAAGAGGAAAGGGCTTTGGGCTTGGAATTGGAGTGAACCAAAAGCTGGTTTTTACATGAGATCTGCATATATATTGAGGTGCACAAGCCTCATCTCGTAGGTACTCCACATGTGCTTTCAAAACTAGTTCATAAAGTTATGTAAACAATACAAAGCCTAGGATGCCGACCCGACGGATTTGGACTATAGGCAATGAGGATCCCTTTAAGGATTTTGAATGAGGGAATGAAATGAGGGAAACAGTACTGTGGGGAAGTAACCCTTCGGAATTTCATTGGATAAACCAAGAAGGAGAATCAAGAGGCAGTGAAAATGGCAGGAAGACTAGTTAGCCCACTCTAGCACTCAGATGAGTGATGGGAATGACAGTGGTGCCACAAAGGCAGGAAGGGCGATTGGTCATAAAGCTGCCTGCTGACGCAGGTGGTCATCTGTTCACACATTGATTTTTTCATGGAATTTCGTAATTAAATCACAAAACTACTCATTTACTTTTCTTTTAAAATTGTTTTTGTCTATACCTTCAGGTATGGTGATTTGTAGATACTTGTTTTAAAGCTTTTGATTGCTTTCAATAATCTGATGAAAAAGATAACTGAGTTTCTGTATCTTCATGGGTCCTAGGCAAAGCATCCTTTTTATAACCCCCACCTTTTTATTTGAAAGGTCACCAAAAGCCACAAAGACAAAGCTTGTAGTTCCTCCAGTCATTTAAAAAAATCATAAGTCTCTTTCATGAGTTGAACTTTTCACCAATACAGTTCTGTGGTTTAGTGTAACTAGATGACTTGTCACTCACATGGTGAAGCACGTGGCTGATTACAGTGGTGTAAGATAAGCATAATAGACTACTCAGTGCTGATGACCAGCAAGGAACAGGGAAGTGTTTAATCTTGGTAGGTTTCCCTCATTCTAAAGAAGACTGTAGGGTGAATGGTCCTGGAAAAGCAGACACAGAGGTCAGACCCAAGCGAATATGTATTTTTTGACAGATTGGGGTGGGGGGAGAGGGTCTTTCTTTTAAAATGTGACATAAATGTAATTTTACACTATTAGCTGTATACCATTTTGGCAGTTATATTTTACCTCAATTTGTAAGAAATCAAACATCCACTTAAATTGACAATCAAGGCAAGATAACTTTGCTAAGTCTTAAATTGAAAATTAAATTTTCTGCTTATTTGCTGTTTGTACATAAGTCATTTTGAATAAGCCAATTTTTCTTTCTCCAGGCATTATGAAAAACCCGTGTTTCCGAGTGATTGCCATGGTTATAGGTCTTTATTTTACTGGCACAATGACAAACCCATCAAGAAAAAGCAGTATTTTATTCAGTTCCAAGTGCCAATGGAATGGATATCTTACAACAAATTGTTCTTTTGCTCGAAAGCATGAAATACCCGTGGACATATCACAGATAGCACCCACGGTGGATGAAAATTCCAATTTCTTTACGGTTCTCTTACAAACTCACATGAAAAAAGAAGAATGGAACATAAAACACCTGGACCTTAGTAACAATCTCATATCAAAAATAACCTTAAGCTCTCTTGAACATTTTCATGCTTTGGAAATATTAAACCTCAGCAACAACGCCATTCACTCAGTATTATTGGATCTACCCAGTTTTAAGTCCTCATGGGTGAAACGCCACAGAGGCAGCTTGAGAAATCGGCTTCCATTTCTAAAGTTGCTTACTCTTCAACGAAATAAACTCAGCAACATTCCCAAGGGTAAGTACAATTTTAAAAGATGGGCCAAGAAACCACGAGTATTTGGAGAGCTAATGTGCATGCTTAGTTGCTCAGTCACGTCTGATCCTAGCGACCCTTTTGACTGTACCCTACCAGGCTCCTCTGTACATGGGATTTTTCAGGCAAGAATGCTGGAGTGGATTACCATTTACTTCTCCAGAGAATCTTCCCGACCCAGGGATCAAACCTGTGTCTTCTATGTGTCGTGCATTACAGGCAGATTCTTTACCCACTGAGTCATAATGTTTTGTGTCAATAAGAATTCCAGGTTTGTTTTCAGTTTCAGGAAAACAGCTGAAAGTATAGCAATTTGATCAGAGTAAATATAATAAGAGGACTTCCCTGGTGGTTCATATGGTAGACTCTGCCTGCAACGCAGGAGACCGTGGTTCTATCCCTGAGTCAGGAAGACACCCTGGAGAAGGAAATGGCAACCCACTACAGTATTTTTGCCTGGAAAATCCCATGGATGGAGAAGTGTGGAGGGCTACAGTCCATTGGGTCACAAAGAGTCAGACACGACTGAGTGACTAATTCTTTCACTTTCACTTTTCAAATATAATAAAAGTTTCTTATGAGAATTTTAAGTTTATAATATGTGGAATTTCAAGTCAGTGTAATTTAATCTCCTGTTGCCATAACTTATATTGATATTATATGAATTTGTCAAGAGATACTAATAATAGAAAGTATTTAAGTGCTAAATAATAATGCATTATTTTAAATTACCTAATTTGATTTATGTATATTTGTTACTAATTAGCATTGAGAAATAACTAGTTCAGATACTTTTAATAGGTAACAATTCAAATTAAATGTTGCCATATTTATAACTTTTGTTTTTACAGAATACATTTTACATCTACTTATCTAGTTCTTCTCCAAATGTAGACTATATATATGCTAATATTATATGTAAACTCTTATTATTAAATCAAAATTAGAACTCATCAGAACACATACCATCCTATTTTATAATAAATACTCATCCATGCTGATACTCAGTAATCTACATGTTGGAGTTCCTCAACTCCAATGTTTTTATTTAGAAAATATATATAATAATACTAAAAATAATGTTTTATATTTTTATATTTTATAATAGTAATGATGTTTTATTTAGAAAATCAGATTTGTAAGCCACAGCTTCCTTTTTGTATTCAGGAAAGCTGCAGTTTCCTTTCCCTATTTGTTTTCAGTCTCAGTCACTATTGCTAAGTACTTACTTTATATTAGACCCTATGGTGGCGCTAGTGGCAAAGAACCTGCCTGCCAATGCAGGAGATGCAAGAGACATGAATTCAGTCCCTGGGTCAGGAAGATCCCTGGAGGAGGGCAGGGCAATGCACTCTAGTATTCTTGTCTGGAGAATCCCATGAACAGAGGAGCTTGGCAGGCTACAGTTCATAGGGTTGCACAGAGTCAGGCATGCCTGGAACAACTTAGCACACATGCATGCACATGCTAAGAAAATGTAAGAATATTTTCATTTTTCTCCATCTCAAATTATATATAGTTTTTCTCATTTTCAGTTCTTTAATTTCATATTTTTATTTTTTTATTTATTCATCTATTTTTTGCTCTTTTACCAGTTTCTGGTCCTGTTGTAAGCATAGTTGTGACAATAATAGCCTGGCAGGTGAAGGGACAACTGCTCCAGTCCCCACATCAGCAGAATTGTGTGAGGACAGGAGTCTTCTCTCCCCGACCTTTTCCATAGAAGCAGCGTGTACCATTCTCAGTGCATAGTGTAAACTAATTGCATTTTATGATTTTTATTATATTCTTATTGTAAAAGAAATGCCTATTATTTGTAGAATATTAGGAATTAAAGAAAAATTTAAAGGGAAACATTAAAGTCCCTCATGTAATATATATTCTTCAACTTTATTCTTTATGCCTACCTATATATTTTTCTTTCAAAATTGTATCCTACTGCCCATATGTCATAACATAATTTTATATCACAGAATATTTTGAACATCATACATAATTAAGCAATCTCATAAATATTTTAAATAGTCAAATAATTTTCATATATGTTAGTCGCTCAGTTGTGTCCAATTCTTTGCAACCCCATGGACTGTAGCCCACCAGGCCCCTCTGTCCGTGAGATTCTCCAGGCAAGAATATTGGAGTGGGTAGCCATTCCCTTCTCCAGGAGATCTTCCCAACTCAGGGATAGAACCTGTGTCTCCTGCACTGGAAGGCAGATTCTTTACATCTGAGCCACCAGGGAAGCCCCAATTTTCATATATACATATAATCAGTTCAGTTAAATAGCATTTAGATTATTTCCATTTTGTTTGCTATAACTTTCTGATGAACATCATTAAAGCTACACATACTCACATGATATAGCAGTGTTTCCTAACTAGTGTGTTAAATGTGAATCTCAACCCACAAATACAGGTTAACTGGATATGTAACTATAGTTTATAATTCAGCAGAATTTCTAATTCTGAGCCCCCATTCTGCTAGCATCAGTTAGGGTGGGATGGAGAGAGAGTGACAGTTAACCTCAGTCTTTCATGGACTTTCATTTGTCTTTTCCTAGATTTGTACCACAGCTCTAGAATCTTATATCCCAACAAGGCATCAAAGTGTGTGTGTGTGTGTGTGTGTGTGTGTGTGTGTGCGCGCACGTGCACACATGCTCGTATATGTATCCCTTACCCCTTCTAGCCAGAGAACATTTCTTTTCAGTTTGGAGGAAATGCTTACCTGCTTTTGTTTCTTCACAATCCTCTATCTAGATCTAGAAATTCCTTTCCTGTAGAGATTTAGGCCTTTGGTAAACAAAAGCCAAAAAGACATGTTTGCACCTCTGCTTTCTGCCTTATGATGTACCTTTGGGGGCTCCTCTCTAGCTGCTGCGTGCGGGCTTCTCACTGCAGTGCCTTCTCTTCTGTGGCGCACAGACTCTAGGCATGCGGGCTTCAGCAGTTGCAGCACTCGGGCTCAGTAGCTGAGACTTGCGGGCCTTAGAGCTCGGGCTCAGTAGCTGCAGCACGTGGGCTTAGTTGCTCCGTGGCATGTGGAATCTTCCCCAACCAGGGAGCCAACCTGTGTCCCCTGCATTAGCAGGTGGATTCTTTCCATTGTGCCACCAGCGAGGGCCTCCCCTGGAACAATTAACACAGATCTTTTACTTTCTGCTTGAATGGAGAGAAAGGAAATAAGGGAAAGAGATAGGCAAAAGATTAATATGTCAAAATATTAGCCCACCACAACAGTAAATAGAAAAATGCTGACTGGCTCCTTAAGGCAGATGAATTACCCAGAGCTCACTGGAGGTTAGGATGAATACATTTCATTTGAGGACCAAATATCCCTATAAAATGCAGATACAGTCCTATCTTCTTTTCTCAAGTTAAACTTTTGCTTCCCAAAAATATCAGGAAATAGGTTAAGAACTTCCAAAGGAAGGGGGAAAACATATGAAATGAGCAACTCCTGTATCTGAAATTCTATTTAATAATAGAATTCTAGCATATAGAACTATGGAGAGATGAATAAAACAGATCAGTGATGGAAGTCCAATGTAAGCCCTAAATCTAATTGGTTATACTTGAGTTCTTTTATCCATAGCATTTTGTGATTTGAAGTGTTTTTCTGTAATCATCATATACTTTTAGTTTTTACTAGGTTGAGTCCCCTCTAGCGTACTTTCCCACTCATCATTCTGTGACTATGGCTAGGTAACAATAAATTTTTTTTTTGTCTAAATCCCGTTATCTTTTATTTTTTTTTTCCCATTTATTTTTATTAGTTGGAGGCTAATTACTTTACAGCATTGCAGTGGTTTTTGTCATACATTGAATTAGCCATGGATTTACATGTATTCCCCATCCCGGTCCCCCCTCCCACCTCCCTCTCCACCCCA